TCTTGAGAACACGGCGTGCGGAAATATACGGGTCGTGCTGCAGCTAGATGTGCCTGTCCTCTGTAAGAAGGTGTCGGCGACGGACATGCAAGGAAGAACGGCTGTCCACAGGCTGTTCCAACTTTAACAACTGTATTAACTTCCAGGGTAGTGAATTGAACATGCAATTGTAATTGGGTGTGTGGTATATTTTCATGCAGGACACGCATGTTCCACAACACACAAACTGAACAACACTCAATTTTCCGATCGCTACCAGGTCCTTGCGATCTTGTTATAATAACAAGTGCACGTTACTGATGCAATATGGTTGAGACCATTCGGGCTTATTCTAGAGGGGTGCAAGGAATAGTCCAAGTAGTGGGGGAGTTTTATACAATATGTTTAAAACATAAAAATAAAAAGGTTTAAAAAAGTTATTGTTTAATGTTTTAAGGAGGTGACGCTACTCAGCCAATCAAATCGGTGCAGTCAGCACGATAGATTCAAACACACACACAAAGAGACGAGACAAGAGGAGAGAAACAGTCGGAGTAATTTCAAATGGCGGAAGGTAGACAGCGAAAACAGAGCATTTAATTACATTTTCTCTAACTGGACCTCTTTGAAATGCAATTGAATACCCCTGCATTATAGCAGCAACAACAACAATAATAATAATAACAGCAATAATAATTGGGAGGGGGGGCGCGGCTGTTCTTATGTTCTCTGAGGGGAGGCTCACCTACCCACACTTTGAAAACCCCTGCGTTAGACCATGAGTTAGACCCGAGTCTTCCTGACAATTCACAGTGTGCCGCTGCCCGGTGTAATTCAAATGTACCGCCGCGCGCAGCACAGACACACAGCTGCTGCCCAGCCGCAGCACCGGAAATGGAACTGCTGGGAGAAAAACTGACTATCAGAGATGTAACGTTATCTTTGATAATATTTAGTCTCCTCATTTTTCGTCAACGAAAGTAAAGAGAGATTTTGGCATAGTTTTTATTTAGTAAACTACATTTTCGTCTCTTCACTTTTCGTCAACGATATTGCACGCTGATGTCGTTACAGTTATTGTTTACATGGAAAAAAAGGTCGTTGACGAAGATATTTCGTCATAGTTTTAGTCAACGAAATTAACACTACTGTGTGCCAACATTTGTACATTTTACAAAGTGGAGAACAATGGCTAAGTCCCATCTTTAACAAGCTGTGTGGAAATGGGTTTTAAAAAACTCTCAACTACAGTGACGCCATGTAGAGAATATAATAATACATTTGATTTTTATAGCGCTTTTCCTAATGCTCAAAGACACTTTACATAAAATCACATAAAATCAATAAGTCTCTCGTGTATTACATCTTCTGATCTGCCTTTTAGAGACGAGTGATTAAACTTTTTAGAACTAATATCGGCTGACAGGTTAAACACACGGTTCGAGAGAAATGGAGCACTTCTCATATTCCTCAAGAGGCTCTTATTTTCTTCCTTTAAAAACATTGTAAAATAACCGACATGCTTTTTAAGACAGGACATCTCTAACACTCGTAACTAAACACAAACTCTTACCGTCACTTTCTGGCCGGCCTTCAGGATAAATTTGGGGGTGAACTTGTAGGTGGCGGAATCATTTTCAATCGTCTTCATCATCTCAAAACCGACCATTGCCTGATCCTGAGACAAAATCAATAAAGAGCAGAGTTTAAATCGGACCTCCATCAGAATCAGAATCCCTTTATTCGTCCCACAGAATAAAGATTACAAAATAAATGTAAAAAATCTACCTCTTGTAACAGGTCTGAAGATATAGCAGCCAGGTATATATTGCACAGGGGTGTTATAGCATAGTCTGTGTTGTATGTGTGGGGCTCTACTAATAATAACCTCAGAAATGTCCCAATTGACCAATCAGAATCGAGTATTCAACCAAGCCGTGTAATACAAATATTTCAAAACATTTATCCGAGCTCAGAAAAATGCTTGTATAGTCAGAAAAATATAAACTACCGGAGCTCTGATGCATTGTATGTCTGTATCAAACATTAGTGAAGATCTGGATTTTAAATTAGTTTAAATGTCGTATTCATGTGTTAATGAGACCACTTTTCAAATAAATCCAGTCAATTAAAGTTGGAAACATTTTCTAACATATCTTAGTTGATAAGAAAAAAGCCCAATGACTTATTTCCATAACCAGCTAGACGTATACACCTCCTGTTTCCTCTTATTATAATCAATCTGAGGCTTCTGGTTTAAGGGCTGAGCTGCCAACACTCACAAGCATCATGTACCTACATTGGATTGATTTTGCTAACTTATAACTGAACTTATGAGGCGATATACCTCTAGTGAGCGGCCCAGCCCTTCGTATATTTTTCTGTACGTGGCCCTCGGTGAAAAAAGTTTGGACACCCCTGTAATAGATGTTTCAGCTGTATCTCCACACTCGAAGAAATGCAGGAGCTCACCTCCTCTCCGGTGTTTTGGAGGCAGATGAATTTTCCATCGGTGTCGGTCTCGTCGATGCAGACGGGCCCTGTGGCCGAGGCGGAGTGAGAGATAGACACCGAGCTGCTGGCTTCCTGTTCCTCCACGTCGACGCGCTTCCTCTTTCCGTGAGAGGTGCGAACGCTGCGACTGCTGGAGGCTCGAGACACCGTGACCCGAGCCGAAGGACTGGGGGACAGCATCAGTCTGCGGGACGGAAACACAGGAAACAATCAGCACCAACAAGAAGACAATCGAGAAACACAACCATTTACATGTAATGGACTTTTAGAAATTGTATCAGTTAATGCACGTCGTGAATGTAAGAGGATAAGTACATTTTTGGATTCAGTTGTTGGGAAACTAGTGAATGTACTCTTCCAACATGAGTCCACATGTTAACAAAGGTATCCCAACTGTAGCTGTGAACATGACAGGATGTGTGATTACCTAGAAGAGCATCAGGACTGTTTGAGGCATATGATAGCTATGTGATTAACATGATGATTCAGCCTCTATGGAGAGAGACATATGACAAGCATGATCATTTCTGACGTGGAGCTAATCTGAAGTAAACATTGAATACGGCTTTCTATTCCTCCATCTTGTGACTGTAACTCCCTCTCTTGGATATCAGCATGTGAAGGACACTGTTCAGGAACTAGTTGATGCTCTGTATGTGATGACTACTTCCATTCTGGAGAGGATCACAGATACATGGATCCTGAGATTGAAGCTCAAGCTCATTTTGTTTCTCTGTCATAGAGCTTGTTTGTATATAATCATGTCTTCTATTACATGTGGTGCATGCATACAGCGTGCATATGCTCAAACGTGGGCGTGTGTGTGTACTGTATATGTGTATGTACAATAAAATATTCTGAGGTACACATTTAAAAAAGGACTCCTATCATGCAAAATGCACTTCTTGATGTCTTTAATACATAAAGAAGTGTCCCCGGTGTGTCAGGGAACTCAAGCAGCGTCAGAAAATAAAACCCTCTCTCTTTTCCTCCGTACCCAAATCTT